AGACACGCAAATGCTGAGTAGTATTAATTCCAAACCTCACTTATCAGAAAAAGGTCTGACTTGTCCAATTCATAAATCTTCACACTCTCTAAACAATTGCAGAGAATTTGGGGGAAAGTCCCTGGATGATCGAAAGGCCCTGCTCAAAGATCATAGGATATGCTTCAAGTGCTGTGACTCTATGGATCACATGACCAAAGATTGCGCAGTTAGGGTGAAATGCCACCTGTGTAACAGTGACAAGCATCCGGTGGCCTTACATCCAGACTCTAAGAAGCCCTCTGAGGAGCCACAACAAGCAACCTCGACCTCTTTCACGGCAATGGAGACTCAACGTGGCTCCATAGAGCACCCAGAACTGTTCGGGGTATACTATACAGATATATGTGGTGACTCACTGCGCACTCCTTCATGCTCTCCCGTCTATCTAGCTAAAGTCTACCCTGATGGGCAACCAGAAAAGGCTGTAAAGATGTACGTCATACTAGATGCACACAGCACGGTCACAATAGCTAAGCCTGCCTTTTTCGACCTCTTCGATCTCCCGAGTGAACTAAAGCATTTCACAATAAATATGTGCACAGTACTAATGAGCACAGCGGGGAGGAAAATCTCTGGTCTTCGCATAGAATCAATAGACGGGAGTTCACAGTTCCTGTTGCCATCAGTGTTAGAATGGGAGACCTTACCAGATGTTCGCAGCAAAATTTCAAAACCAGAGACAACAAGAAAAATACCTCACCTAGGGCACATAGCTGATTTAATCCATCCTCTAGATCCTGAAGCCAAAATCCTACTTATGGTGGGACGAGATGCCCCGGAGTCCATTGGTTCCGTAGAAAGAATCAAAGGTCTACCAGGTACACCAGTAGCCATTAAGACAGAACTCGGATGGGCCATCGGAGAGTCAGTCTGTGTTGACCAACTGCAAACTCCAACCCAGGTGAATATCTCAAGAACCTCTATTCTCAGCAATGGAAGAGATTTCCACCTAAAACCACGCCTAGAACACTTCACGCTTGCGACAACCAAACCAGTTTTGGAAGCAACAGTATTCCAGACCAATAAGACTTACAACAACTTAGCCTTGTCCATAGAGGACAAACAAATTCTGCAGCTATGTGCATTCTCCCTGAGCACCACACATTGGGATGGGCCATGTCTGCCAGAACAGAAACATACATGTGCAATGCACGTATGTCTCCAGCTCACCCGCCACCATACAAAATAAAGAATTGTACGGTCCCTCAGATGTGTCAACGAAGGCAAATGCAGCCTTAATATACATCACAATCTACAGTGGGGAGAGCCACACTTATGTCATTTTGATTGCAACCATAAGATACATCAAAGTCTACAGCAGGGAGAGCTGCAGTGTCGTTGTCGTCTCTGGAAAAGTGAGACTAACAAAACAACAAGGCCACAACATACCAAGGTTAGAACTCTGTGGTACCATATTGACAGCAAAACTCACCAAGCTGACAACGAAAATGATAGGCTTTGAGCTACAGTCCACCACCTTCTACACAGACAGCAAGGTGATGTCAAGGTACATCTGCAAACAAAGCAGACATTTCTACATCTATGTGGGCAATAGAGTAGAAAAGATTGAAACATCTCTAAGCCCTGAACGATGGCAATATGTGCCAACAGATAAGAACCTTGGGGACCAAGTTAAGTGGCCACCACTTCAACTTCTAGCATGGAATAAGACCGTGTGTGTCCTTTGGTGATCCCATGCTTATCTCAGACAAAGACATTCAAAACTGGCACGTAGCCAGGATATCCTGTGATGAACTTAGTAGCCCCTCCTACTGACTTGTTAACATGGGATTTACTGAATAGCTAAACTATATTACCCATAAGCCATCTCTTAAGGAGACAGCGCTTAACCCAATAAATGCCAAACATTCTAACATACAGACCCATCTAACTGGCTGATCCAGAACAGGCACCCAAAGTGTTTACAAGCTGAATGAACACTCTGAGGTAGTGAAATCAAAGCATCCATTCAGCTTGCAAATACTTTGGGCACTGAAAATAGAAGCTTCTCAGTGCTGTAATCTCGCTTGACTTCAACCACAAGATTACAGCACTGAGAAGCTTCCAGTCCCTGCATGTTGCTCCTGGCCTTCATTTTCAGCAGCAGTCCTTGAGGAAAAGACTTCCAGGTGTGCCAAGCTGAGATGAAGCACACAGGAAAGTGCATCTTCTACAGAGCGGTTCTTTCAATAGGCAAACTGCAATGAGTCAAATGGAAGGGCATGAAACCATGTAGTCCTTTACCAATCTCTCAAAACACTTCATCACAATGGAAGTGAGTGTAACTGGATGGTAATCATTAAGGCATGTGATTTTAGTTTTTTGGAGCACTGGTACAATGATTGTAGTCTTAAAATATGATGGAACCACGGCCTGATGCAATGAGAGATTTAACTATTAACTGCATTAACTGTACAATTGTTTTGTTTATAATTGGGAGTTGAGCATCCAAGAACATCATCAAATAAAAACAATGCAATGATATGCATGTTAACTGATTTTAACTTGTATTCTTTTTTTGTACACTTGTAACTCCCTTTATTATTATAGCAGATAACATAACCATATGAACAAATATTAAAATTCTTCGTTTAAGGAGTTTACAATCAGCAATGTCCTCTATTGTAGGGAAAAAAAATGTCAATCTTCTGAACACAAAAATTGCAATCATATAATACACAGAACCACAGTACAGATAGTTTTTTCTTAATTTTTCTTTATTGTGGTCCAGAAGACTCGACTATTGTCTTTCGGATTACAACTGAGCCCAGAATTTCTATCCTAAATTGTTGTTGTTAAGCCAGTCACGATGTGAAATGACACACATTTACAACCACTTTTATGACAGTTGTAAAGTGAGTCACCAGTCATTAAGTGAATCACATGGTTATTAAGCAAATCACATAGTCCTTAAGCAAATCCATTCTTCCAAATGGGTGTTTTTTATAAGAATCTGGCAAAAGTTATAAATTGTAGTTATGTGATTGTTGCCACTGCAACTGGTTGTAAATGTGAGTTGGTTGCCAAGAGCCTTAAATGTGATCAAGTTACTGCATGTGTGTGCATGTGTACATAGCACTGAAAGCTGTGGACATGTCAAAAGTAACTTTTGGGGGGCTGGTTGTAACTTTGAATAGTTAAGTGAGGATTACCTGTAAACTGGTTTAATGTGTGATTATGTGCCATCAAATCTATATCATAACCATATAAATATACCTCTCCATAATAATCTTAGATCTGATTCTTTAAGTTTTCCAACAATGCATCCATCATTCCTATAATTAAGTCCATCCAGCTATTAGTTATCTTCTCTTCTTTCCTTCCAGCTTACTGAGCATCATGGATTTCTCAAGAGAATTAAGTAATTGCATATGTCCAAAATGGGACAGATTTGAGCCTGCTTATTCATTTTTTGAAAAAGAGCTGTGAATTGATTTATTCCATGATCCATTTGTTAAATTTTCTGGCTTATCCTTGGCATTCTCAGCAATCTTTCCCAACATTAAGTATGAATGCACTTTCTCTTCTACTTTTCAAAGTCCAACTTTCACTTCCATATTTGTCACAGATCTGCTTGCACAAATCTGATCTTTGTACATATTGACACATCACAGCTTCTAAATATATATTTTTAAGATGCATTGCTATTTTACCAAGTGCTATTCTGCAGAATGTTTCTTGACTGCCGGTGCCTTTATTGTAGTCAGTCCTAAAAGACTGCAGAATGTTTCTTGACTGCCGGTGCCTTTATTGTAGTCAGTCCTAAAAGACAGAACTTATCAACCAATATCTTCATTTATTACTATGTAAATAGGTAGAGTTTGGGTGCTGAATCTATGGCCATTTATTTGGTTTTCTCTATATTTCAGCCTAGGCCCATTTTTTCATTTAACTTTAATGGTTAAATCATTGTTAACTGAAGATTTATGTCTTGCAAAAAAAGCCAGTAAGGCCTTTTTCTGAATAAAAATACCCAAGATAAACTATACTATGGCAATCAGCCCAAATTACGTAGCCTAAAGTACAATTCTCTGCAAAGTGTGGTAAGCTGAGAGGGGTTAATGAACGCATCACAATACAACCTTATCTATTTTTATAAAATAATGTGGCTCACACTATACGTGCTTTTATATGCAGTTGCAGTCTAAGTTTCTAAGGCGCGAGAGATATACGATTCTAAGTTCAAGATAATTGCCTTTTTGGTCTTCGTTAATATGTGACATGATTTGCAGTTGAATTTGAAAACAAAAGCATCATTCTCCTATTAGTATTTCTTGATGTAATGTATGTATTGAATATCCGCTGATGCAATTTTGCTCGAAATCAGGGGAAATTTTTTAGGCAAATTCGCTCATCGACAACGCTGTGCCTACATCCGTTTCGTTATTGGAGCAAACAGTAACTCTCCGAGTGGGCGGTGACTGAAACAGGAGACGGCGGGAGCTGGGCACCGAGCCCGATCTCGAGGCGCGCTCCCTAACACTTGCGCGCGCGCGCAAAAAAACGAACAAAAACCCAACAACTTTCTAGCTGTTGAAACCGTTAACGGTAGCCTGTCTTAAAGAACTGAATGCTCCGCTAAGACACTTATCCTTCTGTTTAGACGGGGCTTGAATTTTTTTTCTCCGATCGCAGCTCAGAAGGAAGATTTTTCACGCTTCAGCCACCTATTCCCGCAGAGTTATACGGGGACAGAATTTGGCGGTAAAGAGGGGGTATTAAGTTTTTGAAATGAGAAAAAGGAGAAAGCTTCCCAGCCTTTCTAGCCAGCCAGCGCGAGAACAAAGAACTTCCCTCTTTCCCTTTCCCGCCCCGCACGTGTGTGTGGGGGGGGAAGAAGCGAATTCTCCACCCCTCCATTGCTGCTGATACTGCCTCCTTCTGCCGCCGATTGGTAGCTGCCTGGCCCTGCTGGGCGGGGAAAGGAAAGATATCCAATCCTGACGACGGCAGGTTTTCTCCAATGAGAGCGATGGCCATTGGGCCGCCGCGGGGTTTGGCGCTCTGTTGTCCGAAGCTGGGGACAAGAAGACGAGGAAGATCAGTGAAGTGAACCCGACCCTCGGACAGAAAGTGAAAGGCAGCGCGGTGGGCGGGAAGCCACCGGCGGCAGTAGGTGCTACTACCAGGGAGTGGGCTAACGAGTAAACGGGCGACGGGTAGACGAAGGGAAAGACACACCCGCTCAGGGGCTCTTTGTCGTGCTTGGGGGCGGGGGATGGGACTCACGCAAGTTAAGGTGGGGGTTGTCTATAGGGCGACAGGGCCGGGCTTCCTACGAAGGGCAGCCTGGGAGAGGTGTCTCTGAAAGCCCCTCCTCTAGTTAAATTCAGTAGGGCTTGAATTAAGAAAGGGATACTACTAGGGTAAGCGAGGCTGCGAGGATACACCAAGTCTGCGGAGAATTTAGGATAAATGGGGGGGCGGCGGCGACTGAGAGGGCGTATGGGAAATTAGATAATAGGGTGGAAATGAATTTATGAGAAAGGAAAGGTGGTTTTCGGGGAAGCAGATATTGCTCAGAATTGACGAAATTGTCATTTTACTTCTTCGTTCAGCACCTAGCACATAACTAAACATAGTACGTGATTATTTAGGCAGTGGCATCCAGTATGACAGTTATTTTAAGAGAATTTAAAGAATCGTGAGAGGATGAATTTGAATTTCCTGTCACAGGGCCAATTTTCTTCATGAAAATTAAGGCACTAGCTTTTTATAAGAACACTAAAGAAGTGCAAACTCTTGGGATGTGATGAGAACAAGTGCTGAATGAAAAGTATACTTTGTTCACACTGGTGCTTTCTGAATCACCTAAGTATTTTGAGATCTGTAGACAAAATAATGTGATTAAATAGGTAGATGAATGAAGAGTCAGAAGCTAATCTGCAGAAGGAAGGGGCAAAGCTGATTATATTTTTAGAGATAGAATGTATTCCTGTCCTTCTCTATTCAAGTCCAACAATACTCTTCACAGCATTCTATTTTGGGCTACAGTAATTATTTGAAAGGGAGATCTCTTTGTAAATTACTGGGAATTCAAAATAATGTAATTGAAACACTAGAATTCTCACTTAATGCTAACAAAGGAAAATTACTTCCAAATGGAGGTTCTAGAGAGAAGAGCTTTAAGTCTTCTGAATCTTATGTTATTCTGTATAAGCTGGGTATGGAATGGAATGGAATATGAGTTCCCAGTGAAAAAGTTTTAGTATTATAATTTCCAAAATGTAAAAATACCAGCTGTGATTCTGTATATATCTATTTGGAAATAAATGTTTGAGTGGAAGAGATTGACTTCTGAATAGGAATGAGTAACTCTATCCTGGGATGGTATTGGTAAAAAAAACCAATAAAATACCTTCAGTTCATTTATGATTTAAATAATATTTAAACTGCTAATATTAAAATACCCAGATTTTGTAAGCAGATTACAATATGGCAAACATTGATTACCCTGAACAATTTTGGCTCATAATGGATTTTTGCTAAGAATATTTTATCAATGGAAGTATTTTTTATTTCATATACTCCCTGGCTATGTCTCAGTATGTACTGTGTTGGAAGTAACATTCTGTACTGTACTGTAACAGAATCTCATTTAAGTGCCACTTAAAGTTTTTGTAAATATTTGCATATTTATAAGATTGTTTCTTTTGAACTGTTCACTTAATTAGCAGATTTTTTTGAAATTGATCTAAAAACTTCCAGTTGATTTATATGATCACCAGCAGCTCTGCTTACTATATGAAATTGATAACTGCTATATAGCTCACTACAGCATATAACCTACAAAGGTTTGCTTTAAGAAAGAAAATTGTTATTTTTCTTTGCAGTATTTTGTGGCTGTAATAGGATTAAAATTTTAAATTATCAAATGATTATGAATAAAATGAGCAAGAACTTTAAAAGTTATGTTTACCTGACTAAAATCATTATTGTTTAGGTAAATGCCTTCTGCAATAATTATATTGAAAAAGCCTTGTCTACAGTTATGTGAAAAAGAAAATACACCCTCTGAATTCTATGGTTTTACTTCGGACATAGTAAAAATCAACTAATGTATAAAACTAAATACACCTTATGATTCAACAGCTTGTAGAAAAACCTTTAGTAGCAATAACTTGAAGTAATCATACACGCTTTTTGCTTCCATAAGTATGGAAAGGCTATGTAGCAGCCTGGTGTTGCTAATGAAGTGCCCTTGATCAATTGATCATCAGCAAGTGTAACTACTTCTATAAAAGCCAAAATTTTAGGAGTTTGCTGGTCTCCAGCTTTGAGTTGTGTATTAACACAATGCCAAAGAGTAAAGACATTAGCAATGAACTTAGAAAAGGAATTGTTGGTGCCCATCAATCTGGAAAAGGTTATAAGGACATTTCCAAACAATTTAAAGTCCATTATTCTACAGTGATTCACAAATGGAGAACATTCAAGACAATTGCCAACCTTCCCAAGAGTGGATATCCCAGCAAATTCACCATAAGGTCAGACTGTGCAAGACTCAGATTGAAAAAAAATCCAAGAGTTACATCGCAGACTAGAGACCTCAATTAAATGTTAAGCTTCATGACAGTACAATTAGAAAAAGACTGAACAAGTATGGTTTATTTGGAAGGATTGCTAGGAGAAAGACTTCTCTCTAAAAGAACATGGCAATATCACTTAGGTTTGCAAAGTTGCATGTGAACAAATCACAAAACTTCTGGAATGCTGTCATTTGGACAGAGGACACCAAAGTGGAGATAATTGGCGATAATGCACAGTGCCATGTTTGACCAAAACCAAACACAACTTAGCACAAATATACCATCTGTCAAGCACAGTGGTGGAGGAGTGATGATTTGGGCTTGTTTTGCAGCCAGAAGACCTGAAAACCTTGCAGTCATTGAAAACCATGAACTCCTCTGTATATTAAAGTATTCTAGAGTCAAGTGTGAGGTCATCTGTCTGACAGCTAGAGCTTGGCTGACATTGGATCTTGCAACAGAACAATGATCCCAAGCACACCAGCAAATCTATAACAGAATGGCTGAAAAAGAAAAAAATCAAGGTGTTACAATGGCGCAGTCAAAGTCCAGGCCTCAACCTGATTGAAATGCTGTGGCAGTACCTCAAGAGAGCTGTGCATAAACAAATACCCACAAACCTCAATGAAGTGAAGAATGTTATAAAGAAGAGTGGGTCAAAATTCCTCCACAGCAATGTGAAAGACTGATAAAGTCATACAGAAAACAATTACTTCAAGTTATTGCTGCTAAAGGTGTTTATACAAGCTATTGAATCATAAAATGTATTTAGTTTTACATACTTGGCTTCTTTATTTTGGCTTTCTTTTTGTAAAATAAATGATGACATAGTGCAATATGTCATGCATTATGTTCATCTGAGGTTGTATTTACCTACTTTTAAGAACTGCTAAGGAACAAATGATTTTTATTATGTCCCAGTACATAAAACCATAAACTCAAAAGGGGTGTACTTTCTTTTTGAAACGACTGTTTATTGCCTTGTATTATTCGTTACAATGAGGAAATTAATGACAGACTTACTGGCCTATATGTATTTCATATACAAATTATTTGAAAATGTAAACAGTACTTTATAATAAAATACCAGCTCTTTACTGTAGTATCCCGTCACATTAGCATCAATAAGTACTGTTGTTTGGAGTGGGATGGCTATAATCAAATAAATAATATTTGTTTTAAACATACGTATTGGTCCACTGTTACTGTTTTTGTACAGACATATGTGAGTTGTCAGTATTTATTGATACAATATAATCAGAATTAAATAAGATACAGTGAGGGAAAAATATTTGATCCCCTGCTGATTTTGTATGTTTGCCCACTGACAAAGTCTATAATTTTAATGGTAGGTTTATTTTAACAGTGAGATACAGAATAACGACAAAAAAATCCAGAAAGACACATTTCAAAAAAGTTATAAATTGATTCGTATTTTAATGAGTGAAATAAGTATTTGATCCCTTTGCAAAACATGACTTAGTACTTGATGGCAAAACACTTGTTGCCAATCACAGAAGTCAGACGTTTTTTGTAGTTGGCCACCAGGTTTGCACATATCTCAGGAGGGATTTTGTCCCTCTCCTCTTTGCCGATTTTCTCCCAGGCTGATGTTTGGCAGCTTGAACCTTCAGCTTCCTCCACAGATTTTCTATGGGATTAAGGTCTGGAGACTGGCTAGGCCACTCCAGGATCTTAATGTGCTTCTTCTTGAGCCACTCCTTTGTTCTCTTGAGTCATTCTCATGCTGGAATACCCATCTACGACCCATTTTCAATGCCCTGGCTGAGGGAAGGAGGTTCTCACCCAAGATTTGACGGTACATGGCCCTGTCCATTGTCCCTTTAATGCAGTGAAGTTGTCCTGTCCCCTTGGCAGAAAACACTCCCAAAGCATAATGTTTCCACCTCCATATTTGACGGTGAGAATGGTATTCTTGGGATGATAAGCAGCATTCCTCCTTTTCCAAACATAGCAAGTTGAGTTGATGCCAAAGAGCTTGATTTTGGTCTCATCTGACTACAACACTTTCACCCAGTTCTCTGAATCATTCAGTTGTTCACTGGCAAACTTCAGATGGGCGTGTACATGTGCTTTCTTGAGTAGCGGGACCTTGCAGGTGCTGCAGTGTTTCAGTCATTCATGGCGTAGTGTGTTACCAATTGTTTTCTTGGTGACTATTGTCCCAGCTGTCTTGAGATCATTGACAAGATCCTCCAGTGTAGTTCTGGGCTGATTCCTCACTGTTTTCATGATCATTGAAACTCCACGAGGTGAGATTGTGCATGTAGCTCCAGACTGAGAGAGATTGACAGTTATTTTGTGTTTCTTCCACTTGGGTATAATCACACCAACTATTGTCACCTCACCAAGCTGCTTGGTGATAGTTTTGTAGCCCACAGGTCCCCAACTTTTTGGGCACCAGGAACCGATTCCGTGGAGAGAGGTTTTTCTGTGAACTGAAGGGGCATGGTTTTGTGTGCTACCTGCATCCCTCAGATGGAGCTTTGCTTGTTTGTGCAGACTGTTTGCTGGCATGCCACAGCCTGGTACTGGTCCATGGACTAGGGGTTGGGTACCCTTGTTG